TAAGATCCCACCTTTGAAGGAAGTGAAGGCAGAGCCAGGTCTTCACCCTCACACTCAGGAGAGTCAGAGACTCTGATGGCAAAAACTAGATTTATCTTATAAAGTGCGGGCCCCCAACCCTCCTGATGAAGGATAGAGACCTAAGTGGCTTCTCCATAACAGATCGAGAGGTATAGAGAATAGAAGTATGACTCATGAAAACACGTGAATGAAAAGCAGGGCACCCTGCTCAAATTTCTGATGAGTCATGTGGCCTTGGACAAGTCCCATCACCTGTGTTCTTTGGTCCCTCTGAGGATATGATGTGGCCCCACTGAGAATAAGCAAGACAGCTGGGAGTGGCACAGGCTGTAATACCAGCCAGCCATCTGAGGTGGAGGCAGGAAGACTGCTGAGTTCAACAACAGTTTGGACTATAGAGAGTTCAAAATTTTTCTGAACTGCCTAGCAAGACCTTGTCTCAAAACAAACAAATATAAACAAAAGCCAAGCAAACAACCCCATTCTTTATTAGATGCCAAGAGCTCCAAGACTGTCCACCATTGGCCTTGTCAGCAGCTCTCCTGCCAGGCCAGGACTATCCGGTACAAAGCATTGAGCCCAGGGCTGTGTGAATGCTACACCACCACTGAGCTATATCCACAGCCCTTATTTTCATACAGGGATTCAGAAAAATGGCCCTGCCTGGCCTCCAAATTTCAATCGCTCTGCTCCTGCCTTCTGAGCCACTGGAATGACGGGAATATCACACTGGTCAGCTGAGTGCATAGAACTTACAGTTGATGCAATTTTTTTCCTGTATCTAGGACAGGGTCTACAGGGTCTCACTATGTAGATTGGACTCACAGTAATTCTCCTGTTCTCAGCCTCCCAAATGCTGGGAATACAGGTATGCTCCACCACACCCATTCTCAGTCCTTGTCTCAGACCATCCAGGAGCAGGGCTGTCACGACATGCCAGGGCTCAAACCCAGGGCGCTGTGCCCTGCCTGAGGAACTTTAGGCTGCTGAGATATTAGGCTAGCCCAGCAGATGTATCCTTTAAGGCATTCATTTTCTTTCTTCTTGTGATGGGACTTTGGCTAATTTATAGTAAACTCCTTTGCCTATAACTACTACCTTTTCTTAGGGAGTATTCTGTTTGACAAAACCACAAACTAAGTTTTGGAGAATGGTTTAGTATTTGTTGCTGGCAAATACTTCACACACAATCACCATTCCTTTTTTCTGCTTGTCAGAAACAAGTCCCAATTCACAGGTTGTCATGGAGCAATGATTCAGTATTTTAGTTCCATAAATATTTGAGAAACTTCTACATGCCAGTCACTGTGGATGCAATGGTGATTATCACATTCTTCCCACCTGGTAAAATTATAGATCAGCGGGAAGAGAAGAGTTGTAAATAAAATGTTATGTATCACAAAGTGGTGAAAGCTGGGCATGGTGGCAGATGCTTATAATCCTAGGATCTGGGAGGAAGAAACAAGAGGATCAAAATGTGGAACCCAGCCTGTTAACTTAGCAAGGGATGTAGCTCAGTGAAAAGGCCCTGGGTTCAATCCCCAGTACAACACACACACACACACACACACACACACACACACACACACACAGAAAATGATTTGGGAGGCAGCTGTAAAATGTACATGTTGCCAGGAGTGTTAGCACATTCCTGTAATTCCCAAACTCAAGAGGCCGAGATGGGAGGACTGCTGCAAATTCAAGGCCAGCCTGGGCTACAAAGCAGAAGCTATCTCAAAAAAAGAAAAAGAAGAAAGAAAGAAAAGAAAGGAAAGCAGGCAGGCAGGCAGGCAGTATTAGCTGAGCTCAGTCAGAAGTGACAACTGTAAGCTGAAAGAAAAAGGGCCACCGGAACCGTATGTGCCACAAAACACCACAGTCCAGAGAATAACAGGAAACAACGGAGAATGGGAAGGTGCATTTTTTTTTATTTTATTTATTTATTTATTTATGTGTGTGTGTGTGTGTGTGTGTGTGTGTGTGTGTGTGTGTGGCCAGCTCAGCCCACCAGGGGGCAGGGCTGGCTGGCATGTGGTGCTGGGGGATTGAACCGCGGTCCCTGTGCTTTTTTTTTGCTAAGCTTATTCTAAGTAGGTGCTTTAGACCACTGAGCCATCTCACCAGCCCGGAAGGTGCATTCTGAAATAGAACGTACTGGGCAATGAGTGGCAGCTGATGAGGAAACTTCCAGTTGTGCTTCTAAAGATCATCCACAATATGAAAGACAGCGCAGTGTGACAAGAAACCAGAAGACTGTTAGAAAACCAGACACAGTGTTTGGGAAGTAAACCTGGGAGTTGGCCTAAAGCTCTAGGAGCTGGGCATGGAAGGGAGCACCTATAATCTCAGCACTTGGACGGCAGAGGAAGGGTTACTGCAAGTTCAAGGCCAGCAAGAACTTAAAAAATAGGAATGAAGATGGCTTCCAGATCAATAAATAATTTCAATAAGATAATGTGGTTGCATAGGAATTGCAAATTGAGTAAGAGGGAAGCCTGCAGGACAAAGCAATTCCTAGAAAAAGGGTCACCCTGGAATGACTGGGCTCTCTCAGCACCTGAAGGAAAATCAGGAGCACCTATGTGACGTGAGAATACGGGCTAAGGGCAAAGATAAGATCTCCTGTTTGATCATGAAGTAAAAATGTGCCAGATATTTTCAGTGTGAGAACTGAAATATTCGGTCATGTTCATCTTAGAATAGTTTTTTAATATAACTCATGGTATCTTTCACCTTTAAATTTTTCCTATTTCTCAAGGAAACTCCATTTTTTTCTATTCTCCATGGAAGATTTAAAAGATAGCAGTGTGTAAGTATACTCTAAACATCAACACATTATGAAGTTCTTTAGTTTTAGTAGGCAAAGATAGGCTAAAACATATTAATTCACCAAATATTTATTGAACATTTACTTTGTGTCAGGAATTAATTCTGTAGTATTATTTTCACTAGGAAGTATAAACTCATAGACATTTTACTTTTTTTTTTTTTTTTTTTGAGGAACCGGGGATTGAACTCAAGCCCTTGCGCTTGCCAGGGAAGCGCTTATTCCACTGGGCCATCTCCCCGGCCCCGACATTTTATTTTGATGTGCTTTCATGAACATAAAGCACTTAGGAAGATTTCTTAGGATCATTTCTGTCAATATGGTATTAATCCCTTCAGTTATGAATTCCTCCGGGTAGGTTTGGAGAATGTCTTCTTCATGCTAGAGGAGGAAAGTAAATGCATTATTTCTACTTTATTCCCATTTGAGATCATTAATGGCCCAAATCAATGCTTAGAGGACACACATTTTTAAGTACTGCGGGTTCCAAATAACCAAGTGTTCTACCATCAAATTATTGTAGTTGTTTCAAATAGTCATATTTTTATTTAAAAAAATTTAAAATATTTTATTTATTCAGTACAAAGTCTTGCTACATAGCTTGGACTCATGGTGATCACCATGTCAGCTTCCCAAGCACTGAGATTACAGGCATACACAACCAGACCCAGTTTTAGGGCCAGCATAGTATATGGTACTGGGGATTGAACCTGGGTCCTTGCACTTGCCAGGCAGGCACTTAGACCACCAAACTATCTCCCCAGCCCAAAACTGTCATATTTTAAATTATACAAGCTTCAGAACTTAGAAACTAACAAATTCAGTGGTACTTTCATTAATGAATACTTTTGTTTGCAAACAATTCGGTTCACAAACAGATGTATTTGGCAAAATTTTGTTTTTGCTTGCAGCTCTGCATTAGTTGATAAACACAACTGTGGTCATCATTTCCACACAAATACACATGTGGTCACTGGCTCTAAAAACAGTAGGACAAATTAATTTTGTGAAATGAGGTACCAGTGTACTGGACAAAGGGTAGCCTTACTTCTGGAGCTCAATTTCTGGATGCTAGATAGGAACATAAAACGTGCTGAGGAAATAAAGAGTAAACTACCATTTTTCTCAGAATGAAATAGCATCACAGTAATGACTGTGCTATCTAGATTTTAGGAAATTTGACAAAAGCTTCATTTTCTTAACTTTTCCCCCAGTAATTCCATAACAAATGCCAACAATCTATTAAGGGTTAGCACCACAACCTGATAGGCTGTCCTTCATCGCTAATCCTTTTACCTGGAAGCCAGTAAATCCCTTTTTGTTAGGACATTGTTAGTATAGGCTGACTCCTATCCCCTGGTAACTGAAAACCAATGTCTGACCAAGCCTCAAGTTGCACATGTACAACTGAGGCCATAGCAAGCTTTTGTATACGGACTACAGTCTCACATAAATTCTCAGCTGAAGTACTTTATCATCAGTCACGTACCACAGACCACATCTTCCCTGGGTAATCAAAGTTCTATGATATAAACTAGATTTTCCTCTGTACCTTCTAGAAAATGGCATTCATTTGCCCTAGTTCCTTCACAGTTCAACTAATCTACAATGCTTCAAAGGACTGGAAAGTTTCCCCTCACCCTAACATATGCCTTCTTCATAAGGACACCTATACAGAGCAAGCTGGGTCTTCCACATATTCCTTTAACAAATGAAAGAATATACATTGTTTTTTACTTCTGTCTCTCCTTCAGAGGACCACTTCCCCAGGGCTGGGGTTTCCTTACATAGGTATGATCAGAGAAGCCATAAGCATTTGGAAGGTACTTCAGGTTCTGATGTACCTCCACACTGTTTGGAAAGGGACTCTCAATCCCCTCCCCATCCAATGTAGGTTAACAAGGTCAGAGGGTGGGAAGGAGTTTTGTAGGAGCACAAATGCTAACTTATGATTGCCCCAAGTCATATGGAGAGGGAGGACTGGTGGCCCATAGCTTATCTGAAGTTGCAATTTCCTTTTCACCACATACTCCTGGGGATCCACCTGGAGTCAGCTTTATTATTCACACCTACTCCCATTTCTGGAGTATGCCCGAGAACAGCAGTGAAGCTTCCTCCATCCTACTCCTGGAGCCAGATTCTCCTTCAGCCAGATTCCAAGTCATTCACTCTAGCAAATCTGTCATAATCTATGTGGCTGAATCATTCAACACTGTGAAGTTTCTGGTGTCTGAAAAGGACTGAGCTGTGTCTGAAGAACTTCCCACATTTAATACACTCATAAGGCTTCTCACCAGTGTGAATTCTGTAGTGCTCACTCAGGTGCGCATATTTGCGGAAGGTTTTCTCACATTCACTACATTTATATAGCTTCTCACCAGTGTGAGTCCTGTGATGTTCAGTAAGAGAAGAACGATGTGCAAAGGCTTTCCCACATTCCTTACAGGTATAAGGCTTCTCACCAGTATGAATTCTCATGTGTTGTGTGAGGCAGGTGTTCTGATTGAAACCTTTTCCACATTCACTGCATTTGTAGGGTTTTTCTCCAGTGTGACTTCTCTGATGGCGAATGAGACAAATGCTCTGAATGAAGGATTTGCCACATTCACTGCATTTGTAAGGTCTCTCCCCAGTATGGATTCTCTCATGTTTGGTGAGTGGTGTACTCTGGGTAAAAGCTTTGCCACATTCCTTACACTTATAAGGTTTTTCACCAGTGTGAATTCGCTGGTGTTTAATAAGAGATGGGCTCTGACAGAAGGCCTTGCCACATTCCTTACATTTGTAGGGTTTTTCTCCAGTATGAATTCTCTGATGTTGAGACAGGTTTGCCTTTGTCTGGAATGTTTTCCCACATTCATCACACTGATGAGGTTTTTCGCCAGTGTGAATTCTCTGATGCTGGGTAAGATTGGAGTGCTTGCGAAAAGAAGAGCCACATTCACTGCACAAATAAGGCTTCTCTCCATTGTGAATTCTCTGGTGGTGAATAAGGTGTGTGTTCTGGTTGAAAGCTTTGTCACATCTATCACACCTGTAAGGCTTCTCTCCACTGTGAATTCTCTGGTGTTCAGTGAGATGTGAATAATTGCGGAAAGAATTTCCACACTCAGTGCAGTTATAAGGCTTCTCCCCAGTGTGTATTCTCTGATGCTGAGTGAGAAATGATTGGCATCGAAATGTTTTCCCACACTGCTCACACTCATATGCTTTCACTCCAGTGTGAATTCTCTGATGTTGAACAAGAAAGGAACTGCGACTAAATGCTCTCTCACATTCTGTGCATGTGTAGGGCTTTTCTCCTGTATGAATCCTCTGGTGTTGGGTGAGGGATGAGTGCTGAGTAAAGCTCTTCCCACATTCATTAAAGTTACAAGCTTTTTTCTTTGGGTAAAGAGTCACACCATGACTCTGTTGGGAAATCTCATCAGCATGTATGTTGTCTGCTTCCCACTGATGCAGGCTCTCTTCTGTAGACACCCTGAGATGTGCAACAAGGTTTGTGGTTAAAATCAAGCTCTTCTTAACATTATATGCTTGACTGATCATGTCAGGGTATGCATCCTTGTGAATGAAGGTTATTCCCCCAAAACCTCCTTTCTGAAAAAAGCATGGACCAGGAACCTCTCTGGGAGAGTTCTCCTTCACACCTTCACAGACATGCTTTCCTTCAAATGTAGAACCCTGATATTCATCTTCTTGGAATCTCTTTGTTATGATCTGTAGAGAATCACTTTCAGATACATCATGCTCTACAATAGGCTGGTTATTCCAATCTGAAAAACACGCCAGAGTAAATCTTTCAGGCAGGCCAGAGTAGAGGAACTGAACTATAGCACCCTAACTCGTATATGTTTCAGTAATGGCAAATGAGTGAAGCCCAACAAAAGCAAGTGTAGCAAGAACTTCAGACTTGTAAGTGTAAAGAAACCTCCACTAGGAAAATAAATCACCATGATAAGGTGAAATAAATAAGTATCCATTGCTTCTCTCCAATAAAAGAGCAACAATAGATACTCAGGAATGAGAGACTCTCAGACAATGACATTAAATGGAAAACAACAAATACCATCCAGGCTAAGACTAGGGCAGAAGAGGTAATAGGGCTTGTTCGTATTCAAAGAGTGGAAAAATTAGAAAATGTAAAAGGGCAAATGCTGGAAGAAAGATACAGTGAGTACTGGGAGAGAAGCTGGCCCCAGATATGCTCACATACACCACCCCTCTAAATACCTTTTGTTAGCTTACAATCTCATGTTCCAAAACTCTGGAGCTGGCTGCTGTTCCCAGAGATGGTCCCCTGCTCACTCACCAAGGTAAGTCTCTCTTTTGGTCTGTCTGTCTTCAGCTCCTTGCATTTTTAACCAGCCACAAATCTTCGCTTTACTTTGAACAGAAAATATTTCCAATTTGCAAAATTATAAGCTCTGATCATAAAGGAGAAAAGGTTGAGAAGTGATTACTTTCTCAGTAAGTAGAAAACAAAAAAAGCTTAGCAAAATGATCTAATATTTCACATAATACCTCTCATGACAGATGTGGCACTGTAAGCAAAAATGAGGACAAGTAACCCTTAAGTTCACAAACCCCATTTTTCAGTTGTGCAAGAAGTATCAGGCTCACAAGGACATACTTCTCAACAATCAAGCACTTGGTAAGTCCAACTACCTTTACTTTAGTGACTAATTGCACAGAAATATTTGTGTCAATTAGTGCACCTGTGCAAAATACAGTAAAATATATTCATATAGCCATAATGAAAGCTGCATGGGAAAAGATTCAGTGGAAGACTGTTGCATTCACTTCTACCTGGGATTGCACTGAGAGACCTCTCTATTTGATACAAACTAGAGATACACCAATTGTGTATCTCTTTTGGGTGTTGTATCAATTATACTGTTTTTCTTCAGGTACAGCTCAATATGAGTACATATGGTACAGCTGAAAATAAATACACTTTATTTTCTTTCCATAATTTTATTGAGAAACAAATAGCAATGAGAGAGTTTCAAATCAAATTGGTAGGATAGTTTCAATAATTAACACATTGCATACTGTCTTCCTAGTGGCTGTTGTACAAGATGCAGACATGATATCCTATTTACAAACACTATTAGAACAAATCCCTCTATTCACTGAATTAAGAGAATGTAGCTATATATCTATCCTAACCGTTTTGAATACACAGATGCAAAATGGTCATTCATCTGTATCCACTTTTTTTTGTTTAGTTCCATCATTTAAATATTACAGGTGTATGAACTCATAGTCCAGTAGTCCATAATAGTATTGGGTCTTCCGCTTGACTGGCAATGTCAGAAGTTGTTGACCTGAGTTCCCTACAGCTCAACATAACAACATGGCTTTACCTCTTATATTTCATTTTTATACTTTTCTGCAGGATGGTTAAGACCAAGGTAAAGCAAGACCTACGTAACAAGAATTGTAGCTTTTGTATCTAGTAAGGTCAGTCAAATCCCCTCAGGATTTATCCTGAGACCTTGTACCTCAGATTGTAGATCCTTTGTCAGTGTCAGCCATGTGGATGAGTCACAGACATTGCTTGGTCACTTTGCTTTCTGTGAAAGCCTGAGAAAATGTTTGCTCTCCATGTGACTCTCCTTAGGCACACTCTATATCACTGATCACTTTCCTCTTTGGCCCCATAATCTCCTTGATCAGAAAATTTGGGATACAACTGAGTTACATGATGTTACAGCTGCCGTGTTGTCTCTCAGGCAGATGATTGTTTAAAAAGGAAGTGGGTGGTGAATGAAGGCAGAAGACAGGAAAAGGAGTGTTGCGGGACTGTCCTGCTACAATGCTGTATATGGTTAGATTTCTGGACTT